ACCTCCTGGGAAAAGCTTCAGGCTGCACATGTCACCAAAAGACCTTGAGAAAGCCACGAGAAAGTTTCTAGATATTCATGCAGTAAACAGTTGCCAGAGGAGACTCATGAAAAGGCCGGACTCACTTCACCGTCACTGCCTGACAGTTGTCATTGACTCAGCTCTGTAAACCAGATGTTCCCAGTACTCTGGCTTGCTGAGGGCACATTTTCTTTTATTACCCAAATAACATGGCTCAAGTCACCACGTCATAACTAACAGAAGTCCTAAGACTCTTCTTGTGTCTGAGAGAGAAGGAATGTGGAGGAGGAGTAAATGGAGTAAGGCTTACATTTCCACTGGTCATCTCGCTTCCTCTGACACCACCCTTCTTCCCTCCTCTTTCCTCCAAACAACATTATCCAAGGTTATTGTGTGTGGTTAACTTCGAATGGGGCTTTTAGGGATGACAGAAGTGGCCTCTTGAAAACCATTTCTTCACAACAGCACCTAAGCGAAAACTGCATCATTTTTGTTTTGCTCCCCATAGTTCTTCCTCTACAGGCAGTTTCGCTCTGCCACCATTTTACCTAAGATGCTTCCTCCCGTCATATTACTGGGGCCCCTTCCTCAAAGGCTGGGCCCCTGAAGCCCTCTTTCGTGTATTGCCCACCAACACCAGAATCCTTACTTTCTTAGTGGGAGCAGTTGTTCCTTCAACTCACCCTCACAAGTCTAGGCTTTGCATGGAACTTGGTTGGCCAAAGAGCAAGACAGAGGCTCATCTTTCTGAACCACACAGTTCCAACAAACTTTTTTGCTCCATCAGAGAGCCAATCGCCTCTGATATGCATACCGTTCTTCCCCCCAATGGCAGAAACTTGATATGTATCTATTTTTTATTTTTTTTAATGGTTTTATTTATTTGAGAGAGAGAAAGCACAAAGGGAGAATGAGAGGGAGAAGCAGACTCCTCACTGAACAGAGAGGCTGATGTGGACCTCAATCCCAAGACCCTGAGATCCTGACTGGAGCTGAAGTCAGACATTTAACTAACTGAGCCACCCAGGCGCCCTATAACTTTTTGACAGAATTTTTTTTTTCTTTCTGCCATGCTGCGTCATGATCCTATCAAGATATATGGAGACAAACACCATCAATGAATTCACTTTACAGTCCATTGGAATGATGCTTTAAAGGAGAAGAAAAGAAAATAGAAATTAAATCAGGTCGTTCAAATGCTTTGAATTGGTGAATTGGTGAAACCGTGTGGTGTCAACATACGCTGATGTCCTACACTCAGTTCTATCACAAATTAACAACTGTCGTGGCTCATGCCTCGTGCAAATCCTTCCAGACCACTGGGCTAGCTAGAGCCCATCCATGGGTCAACGGCATTCTGGGAGCAGTGCTCATCTGCTATCACTGATGCATGAGCTCCATCCCCATGCCTAGAATTCAGGCAAGCCCAGTCCCCCAGTACAAGTTCAAGGAACCTCGGGCACTACAAAATAGCTTATTACAATTATCTTGTCTTCTCTCACTTTGCTCCTGTTTTTTGATTCTCACTTCCAATACTTCAGAACCTACCTGTATTCTTTCTAGCTTTGCTTCTTACTCTAAGCCCCCTTACTCATCCTTTTTCATCATTAGCAGATTTTTGCTTCCTGGTTGAGACTTCTCTACTGCATGGCTCCTCCATCTTAGCCCTATTGGCCCTGCGTGTAGATAATTATTTGTTATGAGGGGCTGTCCTGGGCACTGTAGGAATTTTAGGAGCATCCCTGGCTTCTTCCCACTATTTTACCTAAGATGCTATGATGCTTCCTCCTGTCATATTACTGGAACTTAACTGCTCCCACTAGATGCCAGTAGGACCTCTCCCTGGTTGTAACAACCAAAACTACCCTCCAACATTGCAAATATCCCCTGAGGCCAAATGGCCCTCACTTATCAACCACTGGTCTACTGAACATGATTTTCACTTGCCATTTGGTCCCATGAGCTCCTGGGTGCCATGAAACACCACCTCACAACAGCTTCAGACCTCCAAGAGGAACCAGAAGGGATAGGCTGTTGACTGTATCTTTGGCCTTCTATGATGAAGTTGGCAGAAGACAGGCCTGCCCATGATACACTTGCTCAGGACCTCATGAACAAGATTCCTAAATGATTTAAATACAGCATTTGGCTTTGTCTGGCTGGCCAAAGCCAAAACATCTGGTAGAACATTAATTTATCCAATTTTAGTATGCTAGCAAGTCCCCATAATTAGATGAATTTTTCATCTTTCACTCATATTTGGGTGCTTGCACCCAGCCCATTCACTGGCAAACCAGTAGTACCAAGAGGACACAGTTGAAGAGAAGCACAATTAAGAGAAACTACACTGTTTACAATCTATATTGAGTAGCTTTGCAGGTCATAAAACCCCATGACCTTCCCTATAGATGAGTCTAAGAGGGTTGCACAAGCTAGGTTTTTATTCTCAGGTCTCCTTTAAATTCGATATCCCATTTCAATGTCATTACTGCTGGATCTTGACCACATTGAAAAATTGATATCCTCTAGCTTGGCTAGAAAGGAAAAGGGAAAGACTATGGTAGCCCACTAGAATAACAGGAGACATCCTTTAAGGCAGAGGGCGGGAGTGGGGAGGAGAGTGGCAAGGAAAACTTTGGCCTCCTTCCATGGTTGGCCAAAAGCAGCCCTGTTTCTCTTTATTCTGTTGCTTGCACTGCTTCTTCTAATTTGCCACACTCTCATTCATTCATCCATTCAATAAACATTGGCCAAGGATTGCTTCAGGCTATGATCTCTATCAGTGACTAGAGATCTCAGTGTGAATAAGCCTTGACAAAGCATAACATCATGCTGAACTCAGGTCATAGACTCGAATATCTCTGGGCTCTACCACTCACCCACACGCACAAGTCATTGATCTTTCCTGGGCCTCAGTTTACTCTTCTGTAAAAGTATTATAAAATTTAAACGAGAGAATGATATAATACACTTATCACAGGCTTTGGCCTGTGTACAAATCATAGTCAATGATCTGTAAATATTAGAGATGCTGATGCTGATAATAATATTTCTTACCACTATTCTTAGGAAGCTCAAAATCAACTAAGTATGTGTCAGGTGAGGGGAGATCAGGAAAACAGTTAACTGCAGCCAAGTAGTAGGTGCTGGTGCAGAAATCTCATGGAGTACAGCGACGCCACACAAGAGAATGGTAACCCTACTACAAGAGAGAAAGAAGAAGGAAGCCTTCCTAGACAAAGCACTCTTCTCGGGGGTTACTGTATAATCAACCACTCCTCCCCTCAGGAATTTTGCCCCTGCACCAAGATCTCAAAGAAATTCTACTTGAGGACCCAAAAGGATGACCACTGGAAGCACCTCCAACACTCTTGTAGAGGCTTTTCTCCATCAGGAAGAGGGATTAAGGTGCCCCTCAGCTGTGTCAAAGGAAACAAGCCAAAGCCAAGAAGGTCAAGAAAAGTGGGTCCAGGAGAATGTGGTCCTGCACAAAGCTGGAAGGCTTCACTGCTGCACTGTAATTGTTTCCACTCCACATCTGTTTTAAGGTGGCCAAGTTTACAAATACTCTCAACCCAATAGTGAGAAGATAAGGGAAAGAAGGCAAGGACCCACTCTGTCTCCAACAACTAGTATGTAGCATTTACATGGCTTTGAGTCTTTCAGAGGCCCGAAGATTCTGGAAAGGAGATAGTATATAGTAAAGGAATTAAAAGGGTTTTGCAGAGGAAACCTATAGTTGGTGTCATAAAGATTCCTTCATCTCCATAAATTAGAAGAATGCAAAGCTGTCATGGCCATTTCTTCTTGTAATTTAGATGCATATTTCATTCTCAAGATGGACAATTTGTAAAGAATATAGTTTTATTTAGGGACTGACATTTCACTCAAGAACAGGATGGGAAAAAAAAGTGGCACCTAAGTCACCATTAAAGCCTCAGAACAAGGGGAAAGGTCAACAAAGACATTGCCCACTTATTTCTAGAGAATGAATGTTGCCTTGGGAAGAAATATTTTGTGGTTTTTTTTTTAAATGCATTTGCTTTGGGGTCTTTCCTATTTTGAAATCCTATCAGTTCTACAAATCAAGATATTTCCTTCAGTTTCTTTATGTAAGAAGACATTTCCTTATTGATATTTATTTCACAAAGGCATTGAGAATCCTGGGATAAGATGTTATTCACAGCTGCCTGTCTTGGCATATGCTTTGCTATTTGCCTTTTTTTTTTTTCAAGTCCTTGAAAATGAACTTTATACCTTTTTCTGATTGCTAGGGGACACATTTAAGCTGTAAATGAAAATGTAAAAGACTACTTATATTTTTGAAGATCCTTAACATTTCTTGTGTAATTATTGGTTAGTATTTAAGATAAAGTAAAATTGAGGTTTGTTTTTTTTTTTCTTCCCACGGTGCTCTTCCTTCCCTGTGCATCCCACTTAAATTAGCACACACTATTCCCAATATATCATAAAGTTTCAAGAAGAGATTGGTTAACAGAGAGGTTCAAGAGCTTGTCCTCATTTGGGAGAGGGATACTTACCTTAAAGATTTATAACTATTGAGCTTTACTCCTCTTTGATAAGAAAAAGAAATGCATCATGAAATTCGTTTTTAAAACAAGCAACAAATTCTTCGACTGTTTCTCTTCTTTAGCTGTAACCTGGCTGGTTATTTATGAGTCTGTCGTCTTTCCCAAACACCACTGTAAATGAGTTGTAAAATCTGGTGACATTTTGGGGGTCAAATGCATACATGTGCATGAAATATGCTCTTGTCTCTGGGGGATAATCTCTCCTTCCTTGAAGGAATAAAACCCATTCGATGCCCACCTGTGATATCAGGCTCTTAACTTTTTGTTGATTTAATCTTCCATTCAGGTAAAATTTACTGATGTCCTGTTATGTTCTAGGTACTAAGGATACACCAGTGTGCAAAACCAGAACACTGAGATGACAGAAATGCTCTATGCCTTTCCAGTGCAGTCATCACTAGCCACCGGTGGGTCCAGCTACAGATGTGGCCATACTTGACAGCACGGGGTAAGAGTCCTCTGTTATCTTTCCTGCATAAACCACACCCCTAGGCTTCCTCTCTGATTTTCAGTCTGGGTTTCTTTACAATGGACTGAAAACTTAAAGACAATTGTGACACATCCTGAGAAGAGAATCCTTTTAAATGTTAATATTTTTAAAAATTATTGGTCTTCTACTCATACCCAGTCTAATAGTTATTTTCTGTAGCAATTTGCATCTTTTAAGTCTTTTGATGCATTCAACGCCCATCTCCTCTTTCCACTACCATCTGGTTCCTCTCTTGAGATGGTCAGCTTCTTGTGTGTTCGGAATGGGGGGAGAAGGAATGGGCTCTAGTGGGCAGAGGTTCCATAGAGTTTCCTCATTCTAAACAGAGTGACAGCCATGAAGCCAGCATCTGAGAACCCTGAGGCAGGAATTATAAATGACAGATCCCAGAAAGAGTTCGGTGCATGGGGATACAATGACTTCTGAGGTGAGAGACAGCATCAATCCTATATGATTGTATCTGGTATCCATGACCCTTGAAAAGCCATAGGGATACTGAACAGGTCGTCTTAATCCTCTGCATCTTTGAAGCTAGAAGAGTACAAACACCTTGTCACTGAGATGCTCCTTCCCAGGACCCCAGCAAGGGACTACTGCCCCATCTTTTGACACACAGCATCCCCACACTGGAATAGAAATCTCTTTATCTTCCACCCGTCAGAGAACAGCCTCTATCTGGAGAGTTGTAACATACAGATCTGTGACTGTTTTTAAAATAATGCATTAAAGAAAACTCAGCAGCTAGAGAAAGGAAGACCAACCTGAGCAAACAAAACATTTGGCCAGTGAAATGAAGCTTTTAGAAACAACAGAGGGAAACCTGGACAAACAAATAACAAGAGCAGTTAGGAGATTCAAATGCAGTGCACAAAAAGAATGCCCAGACCTCAGAAAAAAATGATTTCTCCACTGAATGGGGCTTCTAGATTTCACATATATAAGAAGAACTTCAGGAGACTCCATTAAATCAGAATTTCACATAAACAATAAATAATTTTAGTATATTCTTCCCATGCTACACTAAAAAAAATTCATTCTGAAATCAAATTTAACTATATATTCTGTATTTTATCTGGCAGTGCTATCATTGAACAACTCAGTGGCTGAATTGAAGAGAGGTTAGTCATTGAAGTGACATGAACTGGTGACTAGAAAACACATGGAAAAAACTTGCACTGCACAGAGCAAGCAAAGAGGTGGGCAAACAAAAGAAAGGGTGAGACCTTGAGCTGGGTCTAGCAGACATACTATAAGTAATAATATGAATTCCAATAACAAAAGGCAGTAGTTTTAAAGTGTGTGATAAAAGATATATATGCCCCTAAGTTTGTTGCAACATTATTTACAATAGCCAACGTAAAGAAGCAGCTCAAGTGTCTATCAGTAGATGAATGGTTAAAGAAAATGTGATATATTTATGCAATGGAATATTATTCATCCTACAAAGAATGAAATCTTGCCATTTGCAACAACATGGATGGAGCTAGAGAATATTACGCTAAGTGAAACAAGTTGGTCAGAGAAAGATAAATACCATATGATTTTACTCAAATGTGGAAATTAAGAAGCAAAACAAATGAGCAAAGGTGAAAAAAAAAGTGAGAGAGATACAAATCAAGAAAAAGACTCTTAACTATAGAGAACAAACTGATGGTTACTAGAGGAGAGGTGGGGAGATGGGTAAAATAGAAGATGAGGATTGGGATGCTTGGGTGGCTCAGTTGGTTAAGCAGCTGCCTTCAGCTCAGGTCATGATCCCAGCATCCTGGGATAGAGTCCCACATGGGGCTCCTTGCTCGGCAGGGAGCCTGCTTCTCCCTCTGCCTCCATCTGCCAGTGCTTGCTCTCTCTCTCTCTCTGACAAATAAATAAAATCTTTTTAAAATTTAAAAAAAAAGAAGAGGAGGATTAAGTAGGGCCCTTGTGATGAGTGCCAGGTGATGTATGGAATTGTTGAATCACTATATTGTAAACCTGAAACTAATATAACACTGTATGTTGACTATCTGGGAGTTGAAATAAAATAAAACAGTAAAAAAAAAAAAAAAAAAAAAGAAAAGAAAATTTTAAAAAGAGACAAACAAAAAAACCCAGACTCTTAAATACAGAGAACAAAGTGGTGGTTACCAGAGGGAAGGTAGTGGGGGGATAGGGGGATTAAGAGTACACTTATCATGATGAACACTGAGTAACACATAGAATTGTTGAATCATTACACTGTAGACCTGAAAGTAATATAACACTGTGTGTTAATTATACTTGAATAAAAAATTTTAAAAAATAATAAATAAAAGTACGTAATATTAGAAAATCCTTACTAAGCTGAAGCAACTCCAGATTCTGGAGATTGAAAAGACTTCCGGAGTTCTAAACTTGACTGATGAAGAAAAACACTCATGTGGGTATGTCTTGGTAAAATTCCTGAATGAAATTAAAAAGCAAAAATCTGACAAGCTCCTGGATAGAAAGAACAAATTACCTGTGAATGGGAAAGCATACAATTGCTATCTGACTTATTACCGGCAACACTGGAGGCTAGAAGACGATGGAATAACAGTTGCCAATGACCAACTAAAATCAATTGGGGGAATCCTCTGCCCAGTCAAGATGGCATTCACCAGCTAAGGTGAAAGGAGACTTGCGGACATGTAAGAATTTGGAGATTACACCACCTATAACTCCCACCTGAGGAAAGTAATCTAAGGCTTCAAGAGGAAAGACTTTGAGGGCTGCCAGGGTGGCTCAATCAATTAAGTGTCTGCCTTCCACTCAGTTCATGATCCCAGGGTCCTAGAATTGAGCCCTGCAGTGGCCTCCCTGCCAATGGGGGAGTCTGCTTGTCCCTCTCCCTCTGCCCCTCCACACCACTTGTTCTCTCTCTCTCTCTCTCTCTCTCTCTCTCAAAAAACAAATAAAATCTTTAAAGAAAAAAAAAGGAAAGAATTTATTAGAGACTTTAAAATACAGGAAGATGAAGAAGAGAGAAAACAGTGATGAACAGTGAACCCAATATAGACAAGTAAAGGTAAGTAGATATTAATGGACTATTGGGCTCTGTACAATGTAAATGCTACTTCAGTCCTTTGGAAACAGAAGGGACATATGACAAAGGAGATTCTCATAATTACCAGAACTAAAGTCCAAGATAATCCCAGGCAAACTTAGGAGTTAGAAATGGAGAAGGAGAAAGGAGGTGAGATGTCCCAAAGATCTCACCTCAGGGAGTGGGAAGCGGTGATGAGGAGGAGAGGGGAAAAGGGAACATTCTAGAGGTTTCATCTCCTTCAGGATTGGGATGTGCAGGAAGCAGAACACCACACTGGGAAAAGGGTATGCCTTTCCTGAGAAAATAGTTGGAATCTAAAAGTAGATGTCTTATGAACTCAAGAAAAGGAAACAGAATGAAACTGAAAAGTTCAATAGAACATCCAAATTCACAAGAAGGAGAAAACAGAATGAAAAAATAGAATGATTAACAATCTGATGGAATCAGCCAAAATAAAGGGAATTGTAAGGAACTAATGATTAAATGATTAAAACAAATAATTTTGAAGTAATTACCATTCCTAGAACATGCCATTAATGTTACTCTCCATACCTGCGCTATCCTTCAGGTTTACCTTGCGTGCCTTTCTCTGCCACTGCAAGGAAGGCCTGTGTGGATTACATCAATGGGTTCTCTTGCGATCTGGCTTTTTTTTAGGTGCAGCCAGTGATAAGGACCAGAAGAGATCAGAGGGAAGGAGAATGGGGAAGTTAGTCCTTGGGCTCCTCCCATGCCAGGTTGCTCTGTTGTGCTCCCCTACAGAAGGCAACCCCATGTACACACCTACCCAACTGTGTTCTCAACATGGCTTCCCCCCTTGACTCTTCAGGCCTGGGATGGTAATGCTTTGGGCTGTCACTATCCCCGGTTTGATTCCCTTAAACACCTGCCCATACCTGAAGTAGTCACTATACTGATCTTGCTTCAAATTATCCACATTGCATGTGCCATCTGTTTCCTCCCAGGACCCTGACCAAATACTTCTCTCCAGCTGAATGCCCCTCTCAGGCCGTCTCTGCCTCATGGGCTCCTGCTGGTGCTTTTTGGAGGAAAGTAGGTATCATCTCTGAAGTAAATAAGAAACAGTGCTGACTGGAGACCTACAGACTGGGGACCAAGTCCTGGCTCTGCTCCGTAACCAAGGACAAGTTACATCCATCTCTGAAAATGGAGATGATGGTGCTCACCCCCCTCCAGGCTATCATGAGTATTATGCACCCTATAAATGCTAGTTCCCATCCTCATGACATTGGCAGCAATCCATGTATTTTCTTTGCTCTATACCATTTTCTTTTTTTAACTTACTTATTTGTTTGAGAGACAGAGCATGCAGGTAGGGCCAGAGGGAGAGGAAAAGAGAGAATCTCAAGCAGGCTCCCCACTGAGTAGAAAGCCCAACTTGGGGCTCAATCTCAGGACCCTAAACCAAAATCAAAAGTCAGATGCTTAACCAACTGAGCCACCAAGGCACTCCTGCTCCTATGTCATTTTCTTTTATTTTTTAAAGATTTTATTCATTTATTTGACATAGAGAGAGCAAAAGTAGGGGGAGCAGGTAGAGGGAGAGGGAGAAGCAGGCTCCTCACTGACTGAGGAGCCCAATGCAGGGCTCCATCCCAGGACCCCAGGATCATGACCTGAGCTAAAGTCAGATGCCTAATGACTGAACCACCCAGGTGCTCCTCTTACACCATTTTCTAACAGCTTTATTGAGACATCATTGACATACCATATAATTCACCTATTTAAGGTGTATAACTCAATGACTTTTAGCATACTGAGAGTTGTGCGCCCATCACCACAGTTTATATAAGAACACTTTTTAACTCCAAAAGAAACCTGCTTCCTGGGACATCATGATCCCAGGGTCCTAGGACTGAGTCTCACATCGGGCTCCTTGCTCGGGGGGAGCCTTCTTCTTCCTCTGCCTGCTGCTTCCCCTGTTTGTGCTTGCTCTCTGCTCTCTCTGATAAATAAACAAATAAAAGCTTAAAAAAGAAAAAAAGAAACCTGCTCCCCTTAGCCATCATTCCTCCATCCTTCCCCATCCCAACACAAGACAACCACTAATTTGCTTTCTGCCTCTATAAATTCGTCTACTCTAAACATTTCACATAAATGGGGTCATACACAATGTGGTTCTTTGTGTCTGACTTCTTTCACTTGCCTTAATATTTTCAAGGTTCATCAATGTTGTAGCATGTATTAGTAACTATAAGTAACAACTAGTAACTACTAGTTGTTTTTCATCGCCAAATAATGTTTTGTTCCACTCATCAGTTGATGGACATTTGGGTTGTTTCCACTTTTTGGCTTCCATAAATAATGCTAGTAGGAACATTTGTATATCTCATAGCATTTTATAAAAACCTAGAGGACAGCTTTTACTACTCTGTGCCATAATCACTTGTTGGCATGTCTGTTCTTTGACCCATCCCCACTCACTCACCAGGGAGTAAAATTCCCATGGGCAGTGTGCATGTGCGGTCACTCCTGCTGTGTACAGGAACTAGCACATTATAGACAATCTGTCATGTCTGCAAAATAATGACTCTAGTCATTCCACCATCTTTGACGGCAGCAATAATATCCATGGCCATGTCTGTAGTTGGCGCTAAAACAAGCAAAGGGGGAGAATTCTCTCATCTGTTATTTCCTTTTACCCTCTTTGATCTAGGGCCTCCATAATCTCACAATCAGATCTTCAAAAGCCATTGGTCTCACAGTTCTTCCTTTTCCTGAAACACAATTCTATTTTTTACAAAGGTCTTTAATCTCACCTAGATTGTTCAGATGTTTGGGAAATTTTATTAAACTTCTATGCACAAGTAACACAGAAAACAACTGTCAACCTCAGGTACAGGAGAGAGTATCAATCAACATCCACATCCCTTATGGTTGAGAGGATTGAGAACGATACTAATTATTCTCCAATACTGATTATTGAACTGTTACCACACATTCAAGGAACAGACAGAAAATAGAAATCAATGTAGAGTCTGATGGGTCATAAGGATCAAGACGGAAGAAGCAGTACGTTAAATATGAAGACATTTGCATCTGGTTAAACATCACATCTAGAGAGTGGTCATGGTATGTGCATGGTAAATGCAGGGATTACTTAGAATGTAATGTTGTATTACTTTCCATCAGAATCCTGGAGGAGAACATAGGCAGTAATCTCTTAGATATCAGCCACAGCAACTTCTTTCAAGATATGTCTCCAAAGGCAAAGGAAACAAAAGCCAAAATAAACTTTTGCGACTTCATCAAAATCAAAAGCTTCTGCACAGCAAAGGAAACAGTCAAGAAAACAAAGAAGCAACCCACGGAATGGGAGAAGATATTTGCAAATGACAGTACAGACAAAAGGTTGATATCCAGGATCTATAAAGAACATACATGAAGACATACAAATGGCTATCAGACACATGAAAAAATGTTCATCATCACTAGCCATTAGGGAGATTCAAATTAAAACCACATTGAGATATCACCTTAGACCAGTTAGAATGGCCAAAATTAGCAAGACAGGAAACAACATGTGTTGGAGGGGATGTGAAGAAAGGGGAACCCTCTTACACTGTTGGTGGGAATGCAAATTGGTGCAGCCTCTTTGGAGAACAGTGTGGAGATTCCTCAAGAAATTAAAAATAGAGCTTCCCTATGACCCTGCCATTGCACTACTGGGTATTTACCCCAAAGATACAGAGGTAGTGAAAAGAAGGGCCATCTGTACCCCAGTGGTTATAGCAGCAATGGCCATGGTGGCCAAACTGTGGAAAGAACCAAGATGCCCTTCAACGGACAAATGGATAAGGAAGATGTGGTGCATATACACTATGGAGTATTATGCCTCCATCAGAAAGGATGAATACCCAACTTTTATAGCAACATGGATGGGACTGGAAGAGATTATGCTGAGTGAAATAAGTCAAGCAGAGAGAGTCAATTATCATATGGTTTCACTTATTTGTGGAGCATAACAAATAGCATGGAGGGCAAGGGGAGTTAGAGAGGAGAAGGGAGTTGAGGAAAATTGGAAGGGGAGGTGAACCATGAGATACTATGGACTCTGAAAAACAATCTGAGGGGTTTGAAGGGGCGGGGGGTGGGAGGTTGGGGGAACCAGGTGGTGAGTACTAGAGAGGGCACGGATTGCATAGAGCACTGGGTGTGGTGCAAAAACAATGAATACTGTTACGCTGAAAATAAAAAAATTTTAAATTAAAAAAAAAGAATGTAATGTTGTAATAACTGAACAGGATTTATTGATCATAATTAAACAAACATCTCAGTTAAAAAAAATCATGCCTCCAAGAAGCCCTGCCCCTCTGCACCTAATGAAGAATATCAATGTAGATGATAGAAAGAGGTGGAGAGAAGTAGGATGTAGTTGGAGAAACATGTTTGCAGCTGACAGATAATGAACTTTTTGGTTGAGTAAAACAGATATATTGAACCTATATGCTTGAGAGCATCTTAGTCTGGTATCATCCTGCCATCCTTCTCCATCTTTATGCTTGCAACACTGCAAGCATGAAACCAGCTACGCTAACTCACCTCTCTGGCTTAAAAGCTGTGCTGGGAGAAAAAAAAATGGATAATAATATGATTAAATTACTTGTCTGACAATTTTTGAATGTTGACTGGTGATGCCAGCTTTTGTGGCCACAATCAATTGCTCTTCCTGTCCCTTGCCATACCAAAAATAGCACAGTCCACCTGGAGAGGATACAAGTCAAGGGGGATCATAAAATGTTCTGAAGCTCAACAGAAAGGAGTAAAGTTCAAGAAAGGTTCAAAGAAGATTTTTCTGTAAAATGGTTTTACAAAGGAAGATCATTGGGCCAGCATGTCCATGATTTGACCTGTTACAGAATAAAGTGGTATTTCCAGATTTAGATATCTTAGCTTCAAGCAAGCACAGGGATTTTTTTAAAAGGCATTTTAGAATACTATGTGGATGTATGGCATAGAAAAAATAAATTAGTTTTAAAGAGATGTGTATCCTGGAACAGTTTTATCTAATATGAATGTTTCATGCAAAGTAATTGAAGAATGTGTTGAACACAAGTTACCATTTTGCACCCATGAGAAGTAGCTGGATTAACTTCTGTGCCAGGAAGATGGAAAAAATAACATAGATCTAAATATCTAATGATGGAAACAGCAAATACATTTTACTGATCAATTGTCATACACAGAATTTGCTTTGCACTCATTTCCTTAAAAAACTGACACATATGTAAAAATCATTAATTTCTTTTTTTAATGAAGTTTTCATTTTCCAGGAAATCCTTGTTAATCTGAAGAGCAGGATGTATGAGTGTCTCTTCTCAGCAGGATTTGATGTCACAGCGGCAGCACAGAAGCTGAAGAATGGAACGGTGGTACAGCATTGATGAAAAGATCCATCATCTGCTTTCACTTCCTCTGCTTTTCTTTTTCAGGTTTCTCTTTCAGCCTCTACATGTGAGCCATCTCCTGCTCAGTAATAAATGACACTGGTCCCATGAAATTTATGAGCTTTTCACAGCATAAAATAGCATCAGATAAAGGTATTCTTCATCCGTCCAATACCACTCTTACCATCACAGACCCAGCTCAGTGGAGCTCACCATCATCAGAAAATCATTCTTCAGTTATTATAATAAATGATTTTTAAAAGCAGGCAATGGTTTTTCTTTTGAAAATATAAGGATATTGGAGGGGAAGACAAATCATGAGAGACTGTGGACCCTGAAAAACAATCTGAGGGTTTTGGAGGGGCAGAGGGTGGGAGGTTGGGTGAGCCTGGTGGTGGGTGTTATGGAGGGCACAGATTGCATGGAGCACTGGGTGTGGTGTATAAACGATGAATTCTGGAACACTGAAAATTTTTAAAAATAAATAAAAATTTTAAAAAATATATAAAGATAGAGCAAGCATAAAATAATTTCATCATACAGTCTTATGTTTGTACTCCTGGACAAATGATCTTATAGTAAACTTCATGAAATAATAGTTCAAAGAAGACCCACTTCTTATTTTGGTAAGATACAAAGGATACATTTTCTATGAGCTAAGAACCATCTGATATAAACCAACAATCAACTTAAAAGACTGTGATTAAAATATGAAAAATAAAACTCAATGCTTTCAAAGCTTGATTAAAATATGCAGAAGATAAATTTGAGAAACACAGCATTTTTTTTGAAAAATCAACCATTAAGGCAACATTGAATGAAAATGAAAATATTAGCAAAGTTGGCAGATAAAGTGGATAGATTACAAAGAGTCAACTAATGAGTGGACCTTTGGGCAGAGAAGGAGCAAGTAGATCAGAGCAATATTCAGAAGTATGGTTAAGAGAAAATTTATACAAACTAAGCATTTTTAACTTTAGAGAATGAGATAACCAACTATATTTCAGACAAAATTGACAAATAAACAGCCTTCCCAGGACACATAATGGTCAAGTTTTCAAAGAAAAATAAAGAACTGGAAGTAGCCTTTGGATTAGGCAATCCAGAAATCGGGGTAATAGTCAAACTTCCCGAAAAAGCAGTCTATTCTCATGCCTTCTTTTCCTTATCTCCAACATAGTCCTCAACCAACTTATTCTGACTTCCACCTGTTCCACTTTGTCACCAAGAAACTGCTCTCACCAAGAAAAATTGATGCTTTTTTATAACTAAATCCAAAGGACACTTTACAGCTCTCGTCTTGTTTGACTTGTCTGCAACATTGGACACCATCTACTCTTTTTGAGAAATATCTTTTTCCTTGGTTTTAAAGGTATCAAGCTTTCTAAGTTTCCTTCCCCATAATTCTGAAGTATTTTTACTCATTCTCCTTTTCTGATTTTTATCCATCCTTAAATTTGGGTAATCTTCTAGGCTCTTTCTTCTTGATGCCATCTACACAGTTTCCATTACCATGGATATGCCAACAATTCCCATGTCCATGTCTCCACATCTCCTTTCCCATGAGCTCCAGATTCACATGTTTTATCTCCTGAATATGGCCTGGGCTGCCTTCACAACTTCTCTCTCTTCCACTCCCAGTCATGTTCCAGTGCCATTATTCCCTAAATCAGTAAACTGGCACCATAATCTATTCTGCTTCTCATGCCAGAAATCTCAAAGCTATTTGTTACTCTTCTCTCTCTCTCTCTCTCTCTCTCTCTTACTTTCACCCAAACACGTAGTACTGTTGATACAACATGTAAGCATTTTTCATGTCTGTATATCTCTCTCCACCTCCACCACTCCCACCCTTCTTGAAGGCACAGTTATCTCTTACCTAGACTCTATAACAGCCTCAAATCCAGATTCCCAGCAACAAATCTTGTATCCCACACCTACATTCATTCACAATTCTGCAATATGAGAGATCTTTCATGTTACCGACCTACCTACTACTTATAGCTACTTAAAACTTTTCATTTTGGTTCTTCTTTTAGGAAAAATATCTCAAATCTCAAATAATCGTAGAGAACTCTAGAACCTGTATACTTTAGGCATCATTCTCCTCTTTACTTGATTATCCTCCAGTCTTCCTCAAATGTGGCACCTTTTTCTTAATTCCTTGAACAGGAGTTATTTCCTTTTGTCTATATATTTCTCTCTCCTTCCCACCTCATCTCTCTTGACCTATCCAACTTTGACTCATCATTCAAGTTTCTTCTTTTGGCTTATGGCTATCTCAGCAAAGCTTCTTTTTCCTCCATAGCTAGGTTAAATTCTAGCCAGAAAATAAACAATCCAATTTAAAAATAGGCCAAAATGCTTAACAGACACCTCACCAAGAATATATACAGATGGTGAGGCACCTGGGTGGCTCAGTCATTAAGCATCTGCCTTCGGCTCAAGTCATGATCCTAGGGTCCTGGGATCAAGCCCCGAATTGGGCTCCCCGCTCGGTGAGCCTGCTTCTCCCTCTCCTCCTGCCTGCTTCTCCTGCTGCTTGTGATCTCTGTCAAATAAATAAATAAAATCTTTGAAAAAAAAAGAATATAAACAGATGGCAAATAAGCAAATGAAAACGT